ATATATATATATATATATTTTTCTGTTAATATTTTTACAACGACTATATAGTGTCATTTTCCGTTTTATTTATAAATACTTATAGCATACATTTAGCTAAAGTATAAGAAATAAGGCTTTTAGTGACAACCTTCCGTGGCCACTACTGTAGTCGCCACCAAAAGTCTGTATGGCCGGTTGGAGTGTTGTGGCACATTATTTATCTTTTGTGGCGAACTAAATAGCCGCAAAAAAACTAATTTTTTTTCCTGTTATTGGAAAAAATTAGTTTTTTTTCCTGTTATTGGAAAAAATTAGTTTTTGTGGCTACAAAGCTCACCACAAAAGGTAAACAAATGAGTTACAATATAGATTTAAAATAGCTTGTCATATCGGGCGACATAGACTTTTCGCCACTAAAAAGCGTACTTTCTGTAGTGTATAATTATATTATAAGTGATCTATGGTGTAAATATTTTTTACGCCGTTAATGAATTGAAATTAAACTCTTGCAAATATGTAGTTTTCCTTTTGTGGTATGTTTTTATGATTGATATATGAAAGGTTCTACATAAAATTAACCAAATTTAAGATTATAGGAGAGAATAAAGTTTCTGTCTCAATTGTTTTTCAGGCATGAGATTGTCGGTGTGGTAACCGAAGTTGGTAGCAAGGTAGAAAAGTTTAAAGTCGGAGACAAAGTAGGGGTTGGATACTTTGTAGAATCTTGTCGAAAATGTGAAAACTGTAGCAACAATCTCGAGAATTACTGTCCTGGTCAAATAATGACAACCAATGGTACTTACTCTGACGGAACCATAACGTATGGAGGTTACTCCGATATCATGATTTCTGATGAACATTATGTAGTTCATTGGCCTGACAATTTGCCAATGAAAGCCGCTCCTTTACTATGTGCTGGAATTACAACATATAGTCCTTTGAAATATTTTGGACTTGATAAGCCTGGAATGCACATTGGTGTTGTTGGTCTTGGTGGTCTTGGTCATATGGCTGTGAAATTTGCTAAGGCATTTGGAACTAAAGTGACTGTTATTAGTACATCTACTAGTAAAAAACAAGAAGCAATTGAGCGTTT